TGGGGCAACCCAGCGGAGATGGGCGAAGTCGAGCCTGGGGCAGAAGCGCTCGTAGCCGGGACAGGCAGCGAAGCCAAGACATCGGATGAAGATACCGGCGGTGGGCGAGTAGCCGCGACTGACGAAGTCACCTGAGGACCTGAAGACGAAGAACCCGCCGAAGTCGTCGAAGCAACCGCAGTAACGGTGTCGGCGGGCGGCTCAGGCAACTCAAACTCGAATTCAGCTTCGCTCGAAGCGTCATCGTCGTCTTCAGAGCGAGCAGAGACAGCGGGCTGAGTAGCAGAACTCAGCTGAAGGTGACGAACCTTCTTCCGCCGAGTCCGACGACGGGACTTTCCAGAGCGGGGCCTTCCTCCATCGGACACAGTAGCTTGAGGAGAACTTGAGTGCAAAAGGGCACTGATAGCCTCGTGTCCATCCTCCCCGGGACGTGGATAAGCGTACGGTTGAGGAGGATGCGGCGCCGGTGGACGATGACGAGGACCTGCAGCAGTGGGAGACTTGGGGTTGGCATAACGCCGAAGCCGCTGAGTCGAAGTCAAGCTCGCCAAAGACGTACGGTGAAGCTGGGCGATGGTCGGCTCGGGTTGGCTCGTAGCCGCTGCTGAGCTGACTGAAGCCGCAGCCGAGTCTGCTGATGAAGTCACAGAAGCAGCATGACTAGCTGGGAAGGCCACACCGGGACCAATAGCAGAACTCGCCACTGGAGCATCTCGGCGAGGATGGACAATCAACTCCAACCGCCGAGTTTCACCGGCTGGAATGTGAAGAACCTCAGGGAAGCGAGACTCCAAGACACGACACAGCCGGGCGTTGAGGAGAAGGTCGGACGGATCAAGTCCAGGAACCTGCAATCCACCGCCAGCAGCAGCAGCCATGTAAGGGTCGTGCATCGGAATGATGCCATTCCGACGGATGAGCCGCTTCTGTCGCAAGATCACCGCCCGCTGCTCAGCGATCACCGACTGAGCGTGCCGCAAAGGTTGAGTGCCGGTGGAGCTGTATAACCGCACCGACTCCTGCAGCTGCTCGAAGTGCTTGGAAGCAATGCCCTGAAGGGTGACGAACGCCGCATCCCTCTCAGAAATGGATCGGAGAAGGACGTCGATCTCGGCGTCTCGATCCAAGACTTGCTGATGATGGAGCTGGGCCTGACCCAACGCAGCGTCAACCTTGCTCTGCTTAGCTGCGATGGCCCGAGCAAGTTTTGCCTCACTCAGAGCTACAGCCTTTCGCAGTGACGCGAGGAGATTAGCCGACTGCGTGGCAGCAGCCTCTAATCGAGACACTTGCTGTTGCGCCGACGAGAGCTGAGTTGACAAGTCGACGTTGCTGAGAGCAAGCGAGTCCAGTCGCCGAGTCAGTGCGCGGTTCTCCTCCTGAACAGCTTGATTGTCAGCTCGGAGATCGCCAATGATCTGTGGATAATCAAGAGCGGCGTAGTTGCCTTTCAAGATATCCAACAGTTCCCCCGCGGAAGCAGCATGCAAGATCGCTCGCCGCTGCACGGGATCGGAAGGCTCCACGAAGCGAGTAAATCTGTAAGCCATGAGCCTCGCCAAGAAGGTCAATTCTTCTCGGCGCTCATACCCTTGCTCGTTAACTCTGGCCATGAGGGAGTCAAGACTCACTGGAGCAGCCGAGCTTGGCTGACTGGTGGCGCCCGAAGTGGTGTCGCCCGGCAAGCTCGGTGGACCAGGAAGGCGTACGCGAGAAGACCCCGCCGACTCCGCGTCAGACTCATGAGAAGTTGTCAGGTCGACCAGCCTAGCCTCAGGCCGGTCGCTGACCCCACGAGTACCGACGGGTCGGGGAATCGACTCAGCTGGCACGCCTTCACCTCGACGAGGAGTTGGAGAAGAATGATGGTGCCGCGAGTTGTGCTGGAGTAACAAGCGACGAGTAAGGAGCTGCCAAGGGAGTGACAGTGGAAGCAACAAACGTACCGAAGAAGGTGGTGGAGAGCCGCGGGACGTCATCAGCCGAGTATGGGCCAACGGTGGCAGAACCAAATGAAGGATTAAGACACTCACCAGCTCGGCTCGTATCATAACCGGGGCAGTTGTGGTGTAGGGATTTCCAGATTCGACCATACGCCGACCTACTTTAGGTCAAGAATCGGCTCGATCTGATAACCTAGAGCTTAAGAACAAAGGATCACGGTAAGTACTCGGCGATCTGTCCGGATATGCTATCCGGATAGCCGCTGATCTCAACGGTCGCCTGAAGGGTCGGCAGAGATCCGAAACGACTACATTTCACTAGATATTTGTATAGGAAGCATAGGATTAAATAGGGGGAGCCGAAAGGGCTCCCAGAAGACAACAGAGCAAAATTTTCCTAGTCCAAGACACGTGTACACTTTTCCGGTAAGTCCCTGCATAGGACTGGATTATGCCTGCCGTCAATACTCGAGAGGCATAGGTTGTAGGGTATTGATTGGTAGCGTCAAGAGATTAGGTCGGTCCGGGTAGGACAAAGTCTCGCTACGCGCGAAAGAAAGTCCCGCATACTCAGCGGGCCGGTACGTCGGATAGCCCGGGTGCCGTAACACTTCTAGCTGAGCAGCCTCTGCGCTCGGTGACCTGTAAAAGCGCTCGCGCGCCGTCGTCCATCTTTTGGTGGAGAGCACAGGGTTGTGAACGAGCTCAGCCGAACCAAACTCGGCGGAGCCTCGGAAGTGATCTGACTTGGTTAGTCGGAACCGAGTGGAAGCGAACCACTCGTCTGTCCCGGAAGGGCCGGACCGCGAGGGGACCACCCTCTGCGCAGGCCATACAACCGCCGACCTAACTCGGCGAATTGTTGTGGTTTGTGTAAGGAATCCACATCTGACGGTATTTGTGTGTTCTACTACACCACAGAATGCTTAAAAAAAACGCCGCATCTGGTGTGTTTGGAACGAGATAGTGTGAGCCAGCTTATTATCATCCACGTACACAGTACAGTTCCCCTTCCCTTGACAAAACTTACGCAGCACACCCTCCAGCCTCGCTCCAACCGTTGTCGTCCCCCGCCGTCCTTCCTTCAGTTTCGCCACGAGGTTGTGAACGTCGCGCAGCGTTACGTTCTTGCCTACAGACGTTTAATGCTTAGTAGCCCAATTACATAAATAAACGTACAATGTAGAAGCATACCGGTTCGTCGTCGTATAAACTGCATGATCATCGTCTTCTTGGCCCCCGCAGCTTGTAGCTCGTCGACGATGTCGATAACATCGGACTCGACGCGTCGGTTGTCCGGGTGGTTGGAATACGAAACCGGCCCCAGAGCGTGGTTATGGGTCGTAACTTGCTGAGTTACTTTCACTTGAAAGCCTTTTCCGCTGACCCAAATCACAGTGACCGATAGCTGAGCCTTGCAGCCCGTAGATTTAACGAAATAGCTCTTGCGCTTGCCCTTCGAACGGCTCGGACGGCTCCAACCGCGCGTGCAGACGAATCGCCGGTGAAACTTATCAAAACAGGACGGGATCGTAGTCGTCTTGGAGGCGTTCCCGCGCTTGGCGAGATTCTTATTTCTCGCAGCAGTAGTTGTGGAAGTCCGCTTCTTGAAGACTTGGTGGGTCCCGTCTTGATAAGTGGCCAGGCAATCGAAAAGGTCGTCCCACGTGTCAAAGTAGCGGTCCTGCAAAGGGGGTGCCAACGTATGAGACGCTCGAGCGGCAGGAACGTGGGCCTCGGGTGATTCCGCCTCCTGTACACCATTTCCAAGCCACGACACGTCGCTTATCTCGCTCGCAACACTCGCCGCACTTGCCTCGCTCGACATAGGGACCGTCCGCGTTTTCAAAATGAAAGGCTCAAAACCTTTTGAGGACGGGCGAAAAGGGGGCGACGGGGTGTTTTTAGAGATTTCCGCAAAGTGCGAATTTAGAGAGTTTTATATTTCAAGTGCAAACTATTTTTTATTTCGCGGTTTGGTTGTGTGACTTTATCCAGTCCCAAAAACATTTAAGCCGCCGAGTACTTTGGCCGAGACGGTGACTAAAGACACGTACACTACGCGATATAGTGAACGACACAGAGCCTACAGCTCATTCTTTTTTTTTTTTAAATATGCAGGGTGGATACCGCGATCCTCTCCTTTTCATCATCAATGGCGATCCAAAGGCATATATTACGGCTAGTCCGTAATATAAGGGTAAACTAACTTATCGCTAGCGAGTAATGTGTAGTTAACTCGACGGAATCGACTGGCTGATGGTATGGGCGTTTGTTTCGGTGACCGATCCCATTTAGCTGGGGGCGTTCGCTTCAGGAAAGTTTTTTTTACAGACCAATCCTTGAATTATACTACTTATAAGGTGTTAGACTAGATGGTTGGACACTGAAGGACATATTGAAGCCGCCTAGGACTTCACTTGATGAGACATGCAAGCCGCACCCTCCACGATATCTTGTTACTCAAACTCTTTGGCAAAACATTAATGTGTTGTGTGTAGCGCCTTAAAATGACACCTTTACCTAAAAAAGGAGGGGTGGCGGAATGACAAGGACGCCTGTACTATAGCTATTTATTGTTCGTGTAAGTTGTTTCAATTCAATTCCTCGCGCTACGTACTTAAGCATTATACATCATACAGTACACGGTATACCTGTAATAATAGCCGAGGCGGAATTGAGTATTACAAGGACTCCTGTACTATAGCTATTTATTGTTCGTGTAAGTTGTTTCAATTCAATTCCTCGCGCTACGTACTTACGGTATACCTGTAATAATAGCGAGGCGGAATTGAGTATTACTGTTTAGTAGTACTACTACTACAGTTTGGTAGTATACTACTACGTAGTACTACCAAACTAGAGTATGTTTATTTAAAACGTTCGTTATTTGTCATAGTCGTATTCATAAATACGCAAATAATATGATCATACATAAGTAACTGATTTAAATGCTATTCAAAGTGTTCTTGTATCATAAGTGATGATTCATTCTGAAATGAACAATTATTAATACAGCACTTATGCACAAGTATTCTGTCTCCGCATCAGAGGCTACTTCGCTGGCTTCTTAATGACCTTTGAGAGCTTAGCCATCTTTTTCTCCAACAGCGCCTTCTTAGCCGCTGCAATCAGTTTGCTCATGTCTTTTTCCGCCGGTCTCTTGAAGATTTTGTTAGTACTCTGGGCTGTAACTCTCACAATCTCTTCGCCCCGGGCAGCTTCTTGGCCTGCGACCCGAAGGGATCTTTTGGTAAAAGTGTCTGATAAGAGCCGAGTTTCGTCGGGATTCGGAAGCGCTGCGGAAGCGTTGCTGCAAGTCAAAGCCGCGAAGGCAAGAGCAAAGTAGAATATACTGCGCATGACTTCAAAGAGGGATCCCGCGACAAAGAAGGTATTCGGGTCTTGAAAGATAAACGAGAAGTGGCTCATGCATTTTTGTGGCTAATACGAACAGACTGATCCGGTGGACGTGGACGTCGTCCAATGCAGTACAGCCTCGCAATCATGGCATGCCAGTACTTGCACATCAGCCTGTTGATCTACTTGCACATAAGCCTGTTGATCAGGGATTTGTAGAATTGTAGGCTCGTCACTGACAAAAACGGATTCATTCTGAACACTGTTCTGTTCAGTGAACAGTCAATACTGGTAAAAAAAAAAAACACGCCCTCCCAGTGTAAAAAAAAACGCCCT